TTACTTTTATTATTGCAAATTGTTAGTAATATTATGTAGAAAAATACTGTATTATCAGAATTATCAATATCTATTTGATAAAATGAGAGCATGCTACTTAGTTGTTTCACAAATTAGAACAATTCAAGTTTATTAATTTTAGACACACAAAGTTTGCCCTAAAAAAGCAGACTCTTTCAATTTATTAATATATTATATTGTTATTAATTTACAGAAAAAAGAACCGTATAATAATATTACTTAAATGCAATTATTTTTAAAATATAAAGTATATCAAATAGCTTGCTCATGCATACGAGTGCTAAATCAATAGGAAAAGTTTATGTTATAATGTTTAAACATTATACAAATTACTGCATTTTTCGCTACAATAATTTTTAGTTTATCAATTAGTATAAAAATAGTATATGAACTAAAGTTTATAATGATAAACTAGTGTTATGAGTTACGAATTAATTGATAAAAGTGTACTGTACTTTTTTACACTGATTATAGGCATTGGCATTATGTAATATCTTTTCATGTGAATTATAATATAATATACTAGTCCAGATTTAGCTGGTAGATTAATTTCCTAATGATCAGAAATTATAATCTGATGCCTTTCCCCTACCTATCCAAACCTAACTGAACAATAATCCAATCACTAACACAATGCATACTGTAATACTGTATTCACAACTGTATTCACGCGCTATCACTGTATTGTATTCAAAACCCTATTACTGGTAGACTTTGCACCTGAAACAATTGATTCAATATTAAATAAACAAAATAAATAAAAAACGTTAATCACTGGTCTCTCGCGCTCACAAACTATTGTTTGCGACGGTGGGGACACCCGGACAAAAGTTTATTAATATATTAATTATATCGTTAGGGATGCACGAGTGTATGGTGATAAAATAATTTATTTGGAAATTCAGGATTCATTTTAGGATGTTGCTACAAATTTGACAAACACTCCGCAACATTCACGATATATTGCACGTCAATAATAATAAATTTAATCCGATGAACTGGCACTGCTAGTAAGACAATGAAATATGAAAAAACTATATTATTGGATTAGCAGGTAGTTAGGTGGATAGCTTTCTATATTATGAGATAATACTATTAAATTAAAGTTATCACTGAATTGAATTGAATTATTGAAACCAAATCCTGAAAGTGCTGTCTGTGCCCAATGTACTGAACTTTTGTTAGTGTTAACTCTTGTTACGTCATTTGTGTTATCAATACTAGACACATACAGTAAAGTCTGAAAATATACGGCAAACTGTAAGAAATTGTTGTATTTTTAAACGTGAATAACTTTTTAAATATTATAGTTACGAAAGTAATTTTTTATTATTTCACTATTATATGATAAGCTTATATTATTTATAAAATATCATTAAAAAATATTAACTTTAGTTAATCCCTTGACATCGTGTTTGGTAGCAATATCCTGCAATGAATCCTGAATTTGGAAATATAATTTTGTATCACACATTCTATCCTAATCTATCATAATTTATATCCTGGTCATAGACGGTTATTCCCCGGCAAGGCATTTGTAAATAATTAAGAGATTTAAACTTAAATATTTTAAATCTGGTCTATTACACAGAATAACGACACTGGTAATATATGTAGGCTGTTCCGTAATTGTTACATTTGTAGCATTGTGTGCATTAATTAGTATTGATAATTTTTATATATGGTTTCTTACACTATAACAGCGGTTTGGATTATATAAGTCACCTTGCTATAAAGTAATATACTAATAGATTAATTGTAACCCAAATCAATTTTAACTTTATTAAAGTGTTAATTGTTTTATATTAATTTACATTTTAACATTAAAACATACAACTTTCAAAACATACTTAATCATTCTGAGTGTGAAATAAGACAATTGGTACTGGAACACTTTTCATTGTTTGTAAAGTGTTATATTAAACTTTAATTAATTAACAATTTAGTTTTCTAATGTAATAGGTGCCATTTTGAAATCAACGTAAAACTAAATTTTAATAGTGAATTCACAATTTAACATAAATACAACATGTTGAGATATACTGTATCTAATTGTGGAGTAATCAATATAATAAAACATAAACATAAATTGCACACATTTTACGTGTTACAAAATATTAAAACTAAAAATGTTTTTAATAAAAATACTTGTCTTATTTTTATTACATTTTCTAATTTTTAGATATTTTAAATAACGAATTATTAATTTATAATAAATTTTCATAAATATATGATATATACATACTAAAGAATTTGCCGTATTTTTAACGCGAGTAGTTTTTAAAATGCTTTATTTATTCATTTAGATTTTGAATTTTTAGAAATATTAAAATTATATTTAATTTGGACATACAATTTAATTTTGCCTTTAAAAAATTGAATGCGTCAATTGTTTTAACCATGCACAGTTTATTTTAATTTAAGTTGCTTTGTAGCGGCAGTGATGTTACCAGGATAACCGTGATAATCAATGTAATCTACCTGGCAACTGTACCCTCCAGCGGTTTCGTTATTGGCACCAACGATGTAATTAGTAATGACCACGTAGTCCATCAATGGACCCACCTCAGTTTCTTGCGAGTCTATGCCTTTTACGGGAAAACGTTGATCTAAAGTGATAAAGGTCATTTTTGTAACAATTTTTGTAACTATTAAAATATTAAACCTTTCAACAAAATAAGTGTAACAAAAATAAAATTACTAAATATTAACAGCAATTTAATAGAGGGTCGTTCAATTTGCACGTAAGTGGTTAAATATTTAAACAGTGTACACCACAAAGTAATATTTATTTCATAACTCACATTTGCGGGGACCAAATGATTTCAAGAATAGGAAATTGTCCTTGTAGAAGTTGACCGAGTCAATTTTATCATCATGCTCTGGGACTGATGAATCCCAAACCATTTCGTGAATGCAACCAATTCCAAGCCAATCACTAACTTTATAACCATCACCCTCGTAGATACCGTATTTATTGCCCGATAGTTTTGAAATACCGTACAAATAGGTTTCAACCATTCCTAGTTAAAATATTAATTATTTGATATATTACCAACAAACTGTAAGTTGATTTAATATATATATATATTACTTATAATATTACGATAATATATTACTTACTTGCGCAACTTTCGCGTGTTACGACAACTATAACAATAGCTAACGCTATAAATAATTTACTCATGTTTTAGTTTGTTAATTGAATTTTTGCTAGACCAATTCTTAATTCAATATTAAATTATGAAAAGTACCATTTGTGGCAGCTCATATTTATACCTAATGAAAAGGATATTGGTACTTTGTGGACAGGACCTTCAGTTTTGATTTCATGCATTTCGGGTCTAAAGAAGAAATAATTGAATTCAATTCTTAGGATATCTTTTGTTTAATAGGATTTTCACGTAATACTGCGTGCAAACCACGTATCTACCTGTTTATATCATATTTAGATAAAATAACACACGTTTGTGATATGATTTGTACGTAATTATACAATTGAGCATCATCGTATTATTTTAGTCTACTATAGTGTGATTACCGTGAATAACCTCATTATCATCCGATAGTACTACTCGTAAACTATTTCACATAAAAATAATTCAATAATGTAGTTTTCAAATATTGTATCATAGTCTGCTTATAACTTTTGCTTCTCTGTGTAGTGTGATTGTCATAAAACTGTATTTTATTTTGAACTTTAAATGTTGTGGAGTGTTTATAAAATTGTTTAACAATATCCTAAAATGAATCCTGAGTTTGAAAATAAATTGTCGTATCACCAGTAAACACGCATATCCCTAACGATAATATAATTCACATATTACATAGTGCCAATCTAATCAGTGTAAAAAGTACAAAAAGTGCAGTACACTTTATCAATTAATTCTCAACCCATAAAACACGTGTTTTCTTTTTATCATTATAAACTTTAGTTCATATATAATACTATATTTATACTAATTGATAAACTAAAAATTAATGTATCCAAAAATGCATTAACTTGTAAAATGTTTGCACATTATAACTTGATCATTTTCGTATTGATTTTCCATTCGTATGTATAATAAAGCTATTTGATATAGATTATATTTTTAAAATAATTGTTTTAAGTAATATTATTGTCCGATTCTTGTTTTTCTGTAAATTATTAACAATATAATATATTCATAAATTGAAAAAAGTCCACTTAATGAGGATTCAATTTTTGATACTAAAAATAAATAAGTTGAATTATTTTAATTTGTGAAACAAATATATTTTATAATATAAATATATTTTACGGGAAGCAAATAAGTTTTATTTTTATTTATTTGAATAGAAATTATTATAGTTTTTAAAAATGAATATTATGAAATAAAATCTACGCTTAATAAAATTAAATTTTGTAACTTTTAATTTTATCTATAAATATAATGATAAAACATACTGTATATATAAAATCTAACCAGTACACATAATTTGCACACATTTTGCGTGTTACAAAATATGAAAATTAAATATATTTTAATAATACTTGTATTATAAACTTTATTTTGTAACATTGTTAATTTTAATGTTAATTTGTAGAAATTTAAAATAAAAAATTGTTGTATCACCATAAACTCGTACATCCCTAACCATATATAATTACCATTAACAAATATTACCTAGTGCCAACACAGTTAAAATCAGTGCGAAAAATGTATGAAAAGAATCGACTAGCCTAGGTACACCATTCTAATTCTTAACTCACAAGTTTATATTTTACCATTATAACTTTAGAATAATTGATAAACTAACAATTAATGTGAAATGGTACTCATGGCACTTAAATATGTGATATACACAATAATGAAATAACCTTATTTTTAACACGAATAGTTTTTAAAATGCTTTATTTGTTCTTTAAAATTTAAATATATTTTTTGAAATTTTAGAAACATTATAACTATAACTGTTTTTAATTTGGACATAACATTTAATTTTGAATTTATAAAATTGATTGCGTTAATTGTTGTCACCCTGCACAGATTATTTTAATTTCAGTTGCTCTGTAGCGGAAGTGATGTTACCAGGATTACCATGATAATCGGTATAATCTACTTGGCAGCTGTACCCTCCAGCAGTTTCGTTAGTGGCACCACCGATGACATTAGTTATTTCCACAAAGTCCATCAATGGTCCACCCAACTCAGTTCCTTGACCGTCTATGCCTTTTACGGGAAAGCGTTGATCTAAAGTGATAAAGGTCATTTTGGTAACATTTCTTTAACCATTAAGATATTAATCTTTTACAAAACATTTAATCATTAAATATTAAGAGTAATTTAATAGCGAGTCGTTCAATAAGTACGTAAATACAATATTGTTTCAAAGAATGGCTTTTTATTATACAGTCACACGAAATTTATAAATTATTGATATTTGTTTCATCACTTACACTTTTGGGGACCAAATGATTTCAAGAATAGGAAATTGTCCTTGTAGAAGTTGACCGAGTCAATTTTATCATTGTGCTCTGGGACTGATGAATCCCAAACCATTTCGTGACTGCAACCAATGCCAAGCCATTCACCAACTTTATAGCCATCGTAAATACCGTACTTATTACCCGAAAGTTTTGATATACCATACAAGTAAGTTTCCACTTTTCCTAGTTAAAATATTAATTTTTGACAAATTAATAAAAAATTAAACATATTTATTGAAAATAATACGTACTTGCGCAACTTTCGTGTGCTACGACA